GGCATACAGTCGCCATATCTGGGACTCCAGCAACCTGGCTCACACTGGTAGTCCCGCCCTGTTTACCCCCTTAGGCCCCGCCCCACCCACCCTTCAAGCCCACCCAAGCTGTTGGCACTTGCTTAACCAGAGGATTGGCCTGTCTTGGATCCTGCTTCAGGTTTTTCCTAAATTCTTTCAAACGAGCAGCATCGGGTCTCAGCGAGCCCCATACCTCTCATTAAGTAATACACAGAAACAAACACAGGGAGGCAGCCAAAATGAGGAGACAAAGAAACAGGTCCCAAATGAAAGAACAGAACAAAACCCCAAGAAAAGAACTAAGCGAAATGGAGATAAGCAACCTAATAGATACTGAGTTCAAAATACTACTTATAAGGATGCTCAGTGAACTTAGTGAGAACCTCAGTGAACTTAGGGAGGGCCTCAAGAGCATAAAAAAGGACCAGTTAGAAATCATGGATACACAGTTAGAATTGAAGGAGGCATTAACTGAAATAAAGAATAATTTAGCCCTGGCCGGTTTGGCTCAGCGGTTGGAGCGACGGCCTGTGGTACAGAGAGACCTGGGTTCGGTTCCTGCTAAGGGCGCATGCCTTGGTTGCAGTTTGTCCCGGGCCCTGGTTGGTCGTGCGGGTGGCAGCCACTCGATGTGTCCCTTCAGATCGATGTTTCTCTCTCTCTCTCTTCTTCATTCTCCCTCCCGCTCTATCTGAACAAAAAAAAATGGAAGAATGTCCTCGGGTGAGGATAAAAAAAAAAAAAAGAATAATTTACACAGCTTCAATAATACAGTACGTAAATCCAAGGAGCAAACCATTGATTTGGAATATAAGGAAGCAATAAATGCCCAATCAGAATAGCAAAAAGAAAAAGGAATCCAAAAAAATGAGGATAGTGTAAGGAGCCTCTGGGACAACTTCAAGCATGCCAACATTCGCATCTTGGGGGTGCCGGAAGGAGAAGAGAGAGAACAAGAAATCGAAAACCTGTTTGAAACAATAATGGCAGAAAACTTTCCTTACTTGGTGAAGGAAACAGACATACAAGTCCAGGAAGCACAGAGAGTCCCAAACAAGATGAACCCCAAGAGGCCCACACCAAGACACATCATCATCAAAATGCAAAAGGTTCAAGACAAAGAGAGAATCTTAAAAGCAGCAAGAGAAAGGCAGCTAGTTACCTACGAGGGAGTTCCCATTAGGCTGTCAGAGGATTTCTCAAAAGAAACTTTGCAGGCCAGCAGGGAGTGGCAAGAAATATTCAGAGTGATGAAAAGCAAGAACCTACAACCAAGATTACTCTGTCCTGCAAAACTGTCATTTAGAATCGATGGCCATATAAAGACTTTCCCAGACAAGAAAAAGTTAAAGGAGTTCATCACTACCAAACCGTTATTATATGAAATGATGAAGGGTCTTTTTGAAGAAAAAGATAAAATGTATGAACAAACAAAATGGCAATGAGTCCATATCTATCAACAATGGAATCTACAAACAAAATGAACAGGTAGAACAGAAACATTCTCTTAGATACAGAGAACATTTTGTTGGTTGCCAGTTGGGAGGTGGGTTGGGGGAATGGGTGAAAAAGGTGAAGAGATTAAGAAGTACAAATTCATTGCTAGACTGACAAACCTCAAAGGGAAAGGGGTTGGGGGTGTGGGAAGAAATAAACCAAAGTACTTATATGCATAACCAATGGACACAGACAATAGTGTGGGAAAAGGCGGGAGGGGGGCGGGAGTGGGGAGGAGGGAGTCAATGGGGGAAAAATGTGGAACATCTGTATTACATTTTACATCCAACAATAAAGATTAAAAAAAAAAGAAAAAAAAAGAAACTTTCCCACCCAAGGCCTTAGTCTTATTTTTATATAGCATATTGTTATTTTTAATTGTAAAAATAATGTGATTATTATGGAAAATTTGGGTACCATGGGGAGTTGCAAAGAAAGTAAAAATTATTCTACTCTGCCCTGGCTGGTTTGGCTCAGCGGTTAGAGCGTCGGCCTGCGGTCCTGAGAGACCCGGGTTCGATTCCCGCTAAGGGCATGTACCTCGGTTGCAGTTTGTCCCCGGCCCTGGTCGGTTGTGCGGGTGGCAGCCATTCGATGTGTCCCTTTCACATCGATGTGTCTCTCTCTCTCTCTGTTCCTCTCCCCCCCCTCCCCCCACTCTACCTGAACAAAAAATGGAAAAATGTCCTCGGGTGAGGATTAAAAAAAAATTATTCTACTCTAATTCTATTATCTGTAATTAGCAGCTATTTATATGTTGACTTTTTTTCTTTTACTTCTAGTCTTTTTTGATATTGTTAAACAAAACCGGTACCATATTGAACATACTGTGTTATAGTCTGCATTCATATGAACACTGCTTAAAACATTTTCCCATTTATTAAATATCTTACAGATTTTAAAAATCTGTTTATCCATTGTTGGATACTTAAATCTTTCAAATTGCTTGAGATGATATTATTTATAACAGTAAACTTCTTAGTACATATCTTTATGTATATCTTACACATGTTTAAGGGTAAATTCAGAATCTTTTTCTAAACTTATTTAAAGAAATGTATAGTAATTCAATTCAGTTTGTCCTTTCCAGCAGTTATGGGTAAGCCCCCTTATATTCAAGAATCTATCTTTATAACACCACCATCTTGGTCTGTACAGAATCGTGCAGTAATATGTTAATTATCTAACACCATTAGGGAACTTTTCATAAATAAATTTTTCACATAACTTAAACTGACCCTTAAGGGTCCATACTTGGTAACCGTGAACATCGTGAATGAGAATCTTTCTAAAATTGTATTGCCTATGCTGCTATTCCTTTTAACAACGAAAAGATTTGAAAAATCACAATGTAATCCCTTCTAGTTTATATCACACGCATCCTTATAGATACTAGTTATTATATAGTCAGCTCTGCTAAAACGTGATATGCACATTTCTAAAAACCACCATGCTGTGTAAAATCATTTAGATCAGTAGAACCCACAACACTTAGGGGATAAATGGGGTTGGGACACAGCCCTCAACATCTTTTATCAGTGTTTACTAGTGATACATTAAAAAAATAAGATAGGCCAGCCACTGTGGCTCAGTGAACTGAGCGTCGTCCCATGGACTGAGAGGTCCCGGTTCAATTCCCAGTCAGGGCACATGCCCAGGTTTCAGGCTCGATCCCCAGTGGGGGTGTGCAGGACGCAGCTGATGGATGTTTCTCTCTTTCTCTCATCCTCTCTGTCTAACAAATCAATAAAAACATATTTTAAAGAAAAAGACAGGAACTGAATAAAAATTATAGCTCAATTTTACACATATTAGGTGGTTAAAGAATAAATAAACATGGCACTTTACCTTGACAAAGTCCTGACCTGAGGGCTTAGAAGGGTTGCAGCTTATGAAGTTAGTCTGAAGTGGAGAAAGGAAGGGCACCTGAAATCAGAAGGAAAGTTGGGGCACCGACGTGGATGGGTGGGCTCACAACACACTGGAGGAAACTGAGCTCACTGGCACTTGTTTGCAGCAGGGGCTTTGCATTCTCTGTATCCTTATGCAGATGGGTTCCGCCTGGGTGTGGTCTTCCACTATTATAACCTAGTGTTGCTTGCAATGAAATCATGCATAAACAAATGTGAAATTCGAGTTATGCTCAAATTGTTTCCTGCTCTATCAGTCTTGGAACAAACACCGGGTTTAGCCAAGTTGAGTACGCTGTGTGGTAAGACAGTGATGTGTAGGAGATATTCTGCTGGTGTCTATCCTACATAGAGTCAAGACTTGTAAAACAGAAGTATCTGGCATGAGAGTCGGCACTGTCTTAAGTGTTGACAGTGACAATGACAACAATAAAAGATGTCATTGATGTTTCTAGGATTCTGTCGGCTTTTCAGTTACTGGAGTAGTTCTTTCTGCCTCCTTCTAAATGACCTATTTTTTCAACCTCTTGCAGCTCATAGATGAGTTCATCACACTTCTTAGAATTACATCTAATGTAAGGCCTGGACTGGGAGAACACAGACTTGAGATTATGGTTTACTTGTGGCATCTGTTTTACCCACTCAAACTTTGTAATCGTATGAATGAGTTAATGCCTATGTATGCATTCACCTCATTGTTGGAGAAGTAACTTACGTTTTAAGTGAGGTTATTAGTGTGCAGAATTTTTGGATATTCTGTTTTATTAGAAAAAAGTTAACAGGACTCTTCTTTTTTTTTTTAATCCTCACCCGAGGACATTTTTCCATTTTTTTGTTCAGGTAGAGTGGGAGGGAGAGAGATGAACAGAGAGAGAGAGAGAGAGAAACATCGATGTGAAAGGAACACATCGAGTGGCTGCCACCCCCACGACCGACCAGGGTCAGGGACAAACTGCAACCGAGGTACGTGCCATTAGCGGGAACCGAACCCGGGTCTTTCAGGACCTCAGGTCGACGCTCTAACCGCTGAGCCAAACCGGCCAGGGCGACAGGACTCTTCTTATTCCCACCTGCTGCAGCAGAGGGTGCTTAAGGGACTACATCTGAAGGGCATTTAAAAGTTATTGATGATTTTCTTTAAGTTATTGTTCACTTCTATTTACAAATGCCTCTGTGTTTGTGAGATGAGCTCATCTTTGCAAGGTGGGGCAGGCAAGTGTGATTTCGGAAGACCTTCCCTCCCAAGTCACAGTGTAATTAGAAGTCCAGATCCTCCCTCGGTTGCTTTTGATGACTCCCTGAGAAGGACATTTTTACTATGAATGGTTGCCAAAAAGCCTTGCTGATTTCTGCTTTAGTAACTTAAATAAGACAACAGATCAAAACTCTATCTAGATTTAGCAAGCCTGTTAGTATTGTTCTGAACGAAAAGTAGCTAACAAAGCTCATCATTTAGATATTCTAGTGAAACCTATGCATTTTAATTATGCAGAGAGAATCTAAATATCAATGTGGTGTTTTGATTTTTAATTTCTAATCTGACTTTGAATTTTAAATTTTTTGTCTCTACAGAATTTTTAGATATATCTGGGTTGCCTGACCTCACTGCGTGATTGCTATTAATTAACAAGACTTTGTGGGAAAAGGGAACTTGCCTTTTGAGCTTTGTACCAAAGACCTGGGAAAGGTAAGTATTTTCTAACTTGCTTTAAAAAAAAATCTGTTATATTTCTCTGAAAAGTTAACAGTGGGTCTGTGGCCTTTCTACTTTCTTTCTTGTAAGTTTTATGTACTCTTATGGATTTGAAAGATGGCAAGGGACTCAGGAGACCTTTTTAAAAAAAAAACCTTCTAAAGAGATTTGAATGAGTCTCTGTATTGTGCCATTTCTTTTGGGTTCCAAAAGCTGAGTCCTCAAGGTTGTGATAAAGCCTTTTGTTAGATGTGCAGTAGATAAATTAAACTTTAAAGATATGGGAATGTGACGTGGTGTGACAGAAAAATGGGTCCAGTTTTTTGAACTTCTGGTGTTTTAGACTTTTACATAGGCTCTTTGGTTCTGAGTTTGTAGAATAAGAATGAAGTCTATTTGGTTCTTTTCTTGTCTGGAAAGGAAAACAAAATGTAGAGTCTCTGTTCAGTAAGTTCCTCATGTAGCTTGGTCTTCGAAGATTTGACGCACCTGCCAGTTTATTATTTTATACCTTTTTGAACAACTTTAAGATGTGCTAATTGAGACACATGTATGAATGGTTTTGCTATCTTTTAGAAAAAAATTGCCCGAGACTATAAAGTCAGTTTTATTCTCTTATCTTTTTGAAAAGGTAAAATGGGCCTTGAAGATAATACAGTTAGTATACTTTGTTGTAGATACTATTTGGAAGTATATCATCATGGCCCATAAGAGTGCAAGCAGAACAATACACACACCCTCCCTCCCTCCCTCCCTCCCTCCCTCCCTCCTTTCTAGTTTGTTCCAGGAACACATCATTGACAGTAGGAACTGTTTACCCATTTAATTACTAAATAGTTTTCTAAACTAGGTATGCGTCGTGTCTCACAGCTCCTCTGCATTTCTGATAGTACAAATGAGCTAGTTAGAATATATCTAAAATAAAGCAAGGCAGAAAAGAACTTTGCTCTATAAGTTCTGTAGAAGCATTAAATAATAAGATCAGATTTTGTTATATTGTATTACTATAAATTTACTTATAATTAAAGTGTGTATTATTTTGTAATATTTATAGTAAAGAAAGGATCTTTAATTATAAACCCTATTTGAAGTTTAATAAGATATTTGTACTGATAAAATATTATATATACACACACACATACAATACACACACACCAGGAATATAATTTCTGAGTGCTATCAAATCTCTGCTCATTATAAGTTAATTGAAAGGAAGGTCTTTGAAAATTTTCTCCAAAAGTAGTTACTTTGGTATAGCGAAATATTACAGTTATGAAATACTATTGGCAATGGAATTTTAAAAAATTGATAGCAATTTGTATTTAGTTAAGTTTTGTAGTCTTATATTCACATATTAACCTTAAAATAAAGAAAATCTTGCGTGGTATAGTTGTTATTCCTTCTTGGAAGGCTATTTGAAAGAGGATTATGTTGGAAGTCACCATCTGTTCACAGAAATGGAATGAAAAGGACAAAAGATTAATTCTCTGGGCTCTAGGATCCAGATATTTGCAGTGGTGTTTAGATTGGAAATAAAACTTAGCCTCAGAAAGTAAGCTGCTTAAACTGCCTTTCAGATAATTTAGCATCTCTTGAAAATTTAATAAAGTCTCTGGTGAACTATTTTTCTTTCATTATACCAAAATATTCCCTTTGTGACATTGTTGTAAAAGTCATTTTTCCACTTTATAGAGGCAAGGTATCAATAGGACTATTGATCACAATAATAAGCTCCAGACAGACACTGTGTTAGCAGAGGGGCCGTGGCAAACAGGTCTCCGCTCACTACACCTGATGTCATAGGTGAATATTTATCTGCAACAAAGGATGTTCATAATTCACCTGCAAGTTAAAAAGATAGAAGAAGGTTATAGTGTATAAGTGTGCTCCACTTAAATCTAGTCCTGAAGAAATAGTTAAGGGAGGAGGAGGGAAGATTTTCCTGAAATTTACAAGTCCTGAGAGAATGTTTCTGACAATATTTTGTAGACTCTTAGGGGTACTTACATGTACTGGGGACTGATTTCTTTTTGAGGAGGCCGAGTGCATGATTTTAGGGAAAATTCAGAACCACAGTCTCCATCCTTCTCTTTAACTTCCCTTTGTCTTCCACTTTTATTGTCTTAATCACAAATATGTTTTCAAAGCCTTTCCTCTTTGAAGCATTTTGTTTAATTATTTGAGGCAGATTTCTGGAAATTTGAGTCTGTAATGTTGACAAAATATAGGTGCATTTTTGGAAAATCAGCCATAGATTATTAAGAAGTTAAAAACAGCTTCTATTTTATTATCTTATGTAATGCGTACATATTTTTATGTTAATACTAAAAGAGTATTATGCTACAAATTGTTTGGTATCCTGTTTTTGTTTTTGTTTTTTGTTTTCCATTTAACAATAAATAATGAGCTCCTATGCTAATAAATAATTTAAAAAAAATCATCATCTGAGGATATGTTTTTATTGATTTCAGAGAGAGAGGAAGAGGGAGGGAGAGAGAGATTGGTTGCCTCCCATATAAGTCCCAACTGGAGCTTGAACCCACAACCTTTTGGTGTACGGGATGACACTCCAACCAACTGAGCCACCTGGCCAGGGCCTTATGCTAATAAATATTTATCTATGATATCATTTTTAGTGAAAGTGAAACTATTGGATCTTAGCTTTTTGTTTAATTTGAGGTCATCCCGACTTTTAGTTAGAGAGGAGTATAAACAGGTGAAGTATATGGTGTAGGATTTTCATCTGCAAACAGAATAGACTAGGACTTCCCTCTGTACTCTCTACAGTGTTTACTGTAACCAGACATCTGAATAGGAGTTTCATGGACTAAATGTGTGTTCACAATGGTAGGTGTTACTGTCTGACTGGTACTGTGTATAAAGCATTGTGTCTTTGGTCCCTTTGTTCTATTACAAGAGTGTAGGTGTCTTCATCAATATTTCTGTACTTAAGGAAGGACTCTGCCTGCATGTCTCTTCCTTGCAAGGAACTCTAAGGATCTCAGAGGTGATGGGCACAGAAGGAACATTTCATAGACTTTTGAATATACTGTATTAGAGTAGATTGCAATTCAGATTAATTGGAGATGCAGATGTTTATAGACCTTTGCATGCTCTCTCAATTTTAAGTTTCTTTATTAAGCCAACATTTGCTGAGCAACTACTATGTGCATGTTTCAGATTCAGAACTCAGATAACATTTATTCAGCGTGTACCATGTACCATGTGCCAAGCAGTGGGCTGGATGTTCTTAGATGCGGTGTTTGGCCACTAAAATTGAGTAATGGTATTTATTGACCCATCTCCTCTGAAATAAGTTATAAATAGAATTTTCTAATCTTCAAGTTTCTTTTTTCCTTTGTGTTTTATTACACTTTTAGCACCTGCTACTATTTGTTAAGTTACATTAGCAAATGGAAAAAAGGTTAAACTAATAAGCATTTAATTGATATGTTTAGAATGATGATTTTAAAAACATGTATTTGTGTGTGTGTGTGTGCACGCACGCACGCATATGTATATATATTTTATATTTAGAAACCTGTATACATATAATGTAGAGTAGTTCATAATTCACATGATGCAATTAAATATATCAAGATTTATTTTATTTTATTTTTTGGGTGTTTTTTTATTTTTAAAAATATATCAAGATTTAATGGCATTCTGCCCTTAGTGTGGATCTACTGTCTGAACAAGTATGGAAGTCATAGAATTAAACCCTTATTTTCACAGTAGTTCCTAGGGTTAGGGATTATTGAAGCTCAGAGGGGAAGGAACTTGCCCACATTCACACAGCTAGAAAATGTTTGAATTAAGATTCCAGTTTCAATCCATCTAACTTCAAAGATCATGCAGTGTCCTCCTAACTCCAGTGAGCTGGTGGGGAAGGTGGACTCACAAATGCTCTGGGCCTGCTGAGGGAGGGGTGGACATTTCAGCTGAGGAATCAGGAAATGTGTTCGTTGCCCTGAAGAGCTGGCAATAAAATCAGTCTTGAGGGCTGAGTTAGAAGACAGAAAGGGGGAGAATAGTTGGGGCTGCAGGAAATGCAGCGAACCCTATACCTCTTGCTAAGTGGCCCCAGGCCTGGCACTAGAAGCAGCCAGCCTTGGTTCACAGCTTGGCCTTGCCAGAGCACCTCCAAGCCTAGCACAAGAAGCAGCCACCTGCGGATCACTTTGTAGCATATGCCAGGTGGCCTCAGGTAGAACACAGGCAGTGGCTGACCTTGTCCTAGAGCCAGTGCACCCAGTGGACAGTTTCAGACCATGTCGAAGCACCACCACCCAACCACCTCCACAAGTGACACATTCAATGAGTGGACTCAATGGGTACCACAAACCTGCTGAAATAAGTCTTGTTCTGTGTTTTGAGCCCCTGCACAGCTGATCCTCCAAGGTAGTCAGAGATTAGTAATCAGTGGGCACAGCCAATCCTTGCATCTGACCAGCCTGAGTAAATCTCTTTCACTGATGTGCCAACAGCAATCAAGACTCAATTACAACAGAGGGGTGTACAGTCCACACAAGGCGTGTACTTTAAGGACCCAGCTGGGGTGATCGTAGAGGCTGTGCCACTGGATCCTACAGGCCACTTACTATAATAGGCCACCCTACAAAGCCTAGGAAACATAGCAACTCTATCTACCTGATACATAGACACCAACACAGGGAGGCAGCCAAAATGAGGAGACAAAAAACATGTTCCAAATGAAAGAACAGAATAAAACTCCAGGAAAAGAACTAAATGAAACAGAGAGGAGCAGTCTAACAATACACAGTTCAAAACACTGGGTATAAGGATGCTCAATGAACTTAGTGAGGGCCTTGAGCATAAAAAAGGACCAACCAGAAATGAAGGATGCACAGTCATAACTGAAGGATGCACTAACCGAAATAAAGAGTAATTTATAGGGAGTCAATAGTAGAATAGGTAAAGCCAAGGAGAAAACCATCAATTTGGAATATAAGGAAACAAAAAACACCCAATCA